TGCAGCCATGAAATTAAAAGATGCTTACTCCTTGGAAGGAAAGTTATGACCAACCTAGATAGCATATTAAAAAGCAGAGACATTACTTTGCCAACAAAGGTCTGTCTGGTCAAGGCTATGGTTTTTCCAGTGGTCATGTATGGATGTGAGAGTTGGACTGTGAAGAAAGCTGAGCATCGAAAAATTGATGCTTTTGAACTGTGGTGTTGAAGACTCTTGAGAGTCCCTTGGACTTCAAGGAGATCCAACTAGTCCATCCTGAAAGAGATCAGTCCTGGGTGTTCGTTGGAAGGACTGATGCTGAAGCTGAAATTCCAATACTTTGGCTACCTCATGTGAAAAGTTGACTCATTGGAAAAGCCCCTGATGCTGGGAGGGATTGGGGGCAGGAGGAGAAGGGGATGACAGAGGATGAGATGGCTGGATGGCATCACTGACTTGATGGGCATGAGTTTGAGTAAACTCCGGGAGTTTGTGATGGACAGGGAGGCCTGGCGTGCTGCGATTTATGGGGTTGCAAAGAGTCGGACATGACTGAGAGACTGAACTGAGTCTGAAACTTCCCACCCCACTGGATTCCTTCACAGCAGGAAATAGACACCTCCCCAGCTTGAGTCACAATGTTAGAATGTAGATTGGGGATGAATTTCAAGGTTGGTGATTACTCAGTTGCTCGCAGTGGGATTATCCTGCGACTACACCGTAAATGTAATATACAACCCTTCCACATGGGCATTCTAATTAGTGCACTCGAGCTAAACTGTCATATGGATGACTCCTTGAAGTCACCCACTTGCTTTGTTACTTGGGCCAAAGTTGCATCTTCTAGAGCTCATGGGAGCTGGAGCTTCTGTCACAAATGAAAGATGTATTCTTAGGGATGGTTTGCTGTAAAGACACTGAAAAGACTTTCTCTTATTTCCACCCCTCCTTTACTTTTTCCACTTTCGATAGATCCTATGGATTTTAATATTTCCTATGGTTTCAAATAGCTACTGTGGATTTTATGCTAAGCACTGTTGTTGTTCAGTTGCTCAGTTGTATCAGACTCTTTGTGACTCCATGGACTAGCACACCAGGCTTCTTTGTCCTTCAGTGTCTCTTGGAGTTTGCTCAAACTCATGTTCATTGAGTTGATGATGCCCTCCAACCATTCCATCCTCTGCATTCCCTTCTCTTCCTGCTCTCGGTCTTTCCCAGAATCAGGGTCTTTTCCATTGAGTTGGCTCTTTGCATCAGGTGGCCAAAGTATTGGAGCTTCAGCTTCAGCATCAGTCCTTCCAATGATATTCAGGGTTGATTTCCTTTAGAATCAACTGGTTCAATCTCCTTGCAGTCCAAGGGACTCTCAAGAGTCTTCTCCAGCACCACAGTTCAAAAGCATCAAATGTTTGACATTCAGCCTTCTTTATGGTCCTACTCTCACATCCATACATGACTACTGGAAAAGGCCATAGCTTTGACTATATGGACCTTGGAGTAAGCACTGGCTGTTTAGGTTGTCAACTGAAAAAAATACAATCTAAAAAAAAAAATGCAGTCTAAAAGTTGAGAGTTGTTTATTCAGTGGGAATTGTTAGGACTTTAAACCCAGGATATAGCATCTCAAGTGATCCTGAGAGAACTGTTTCCAAGGAGGTGGGTGGGCAAGGAGTCAGACAATATAGAAGTCAAGGGTCAGGCAATTTGAATATCAAAAGATTATTGTTAATTAAGGAAAACCAGATATCTCAAATTAAGGAATTTACTCTTCTATGTATCAGAAGATGCAAGCGTCTGGGCTCACTGAAATCATTCCTTTCATTTGCGTCGCAGCTGTCTGGGACCAGTGACCTGCTCTGTATCCTTGACTGGAGGCTCACTACAGGGAGAGGCAGACATGGCCACGCTGCGCCCCCACCTCCATTCCCCCAGCTGCTCAGCCCTTACGGGGAGTGGGGGTTGGGGGGAGGTGGGGATGGCTAATGGCTGCGGACAGATGACACTGTTCTTCAGGGTCTCAGAAATTTACATTTGAAAGGCTGAAATCCCTGAGGGCTGTGACATCCTTGTTTACTGATATGGCAGGAAATACTCCATTTCACAAGGTGATAAGACTGATACCCATCCAGGAATGTGCAAAACAAGTTGATATACAACTCACTGCAGAAATATGCAGTATATGCACTTCCCCTCCCTGTGATATCCTCACCTTCTGTCTGGGAGGCTCTGCAGACAACTCACAGTGAGGAACTCTTGCTCAGCAGACATTTGCACGTGGGCATATGTATGTGTGCATATATGCACACACTGTGAAGTCGGAGCAGAGAAGTGAGGAGGGGCAGAGGTGCGTCTCTCCCTGCAGAGCCTGCAAGCTCCTACGAATAACTTCATTATAACTTTTTACCCATCAAGCTGAGCTTAGAGTTGACACCAGAAATTCTGAATCTAACCTTTGCTCAGGCGTTGGCTTACTTGGTGACCAGTATAAAGCCAGACAACTCCGCCTGCTCCGGGACCAGTTAGTGGGGATGACTCAACTCTCCTCTGCTCTTCCTCTTCCTTCTCCCTCTGAGCAGCCTCCTCGATTAGGATTTATACTCAGCTGCTAGTTAACAGAAGCCCCCCAAACACTGGCTTAAGTCTATTTATTGATTTACACAAAAGAGGTCCAGAGGTTGGCAATCTTTAGGGTCCCAGGTTCTTTTGGATTTCCAATTGACCATCCCTAAGGTGTGACCTTCTTCTTCAGTCTCTCAGGAAGGCTGCCAAAGATCCAGTGATCACGTCTTCATTTTAGGCATGGATAATGGGAAGTCAGAGAACAGAAAGGGTCTCTACCAGCTGAGTTCAGAGATGCACCAAGGAGTGATATGTGTTCACATCTTTTTGGCTAGAACTGTCACATGACCATCCAAGCTGCAAGTGAGGCTGGGAAACACAAGAGCCTCTATAATAGAGCCCCACTGTCAGGCATCCAGACCTTTGATCCCATTCCCTTGCACAGGGACATGTAGGCTTTGGCCCTATGGACCAGCAGAGGTGAATGCTTGCAGCTGGGCAGACACATGTATGCTCAGTGCAGGAGGAAGGCCAAGTGTGCACAGATCCAAGTGTTCCCAAGACCTCAGTCCTGAGACTGACAGCGTGGACTTAGACTTGCCAGTCCAGAGGCTGAGCAGGTGCTGTGCTCCCGGGTCAGGATGCCAAGTCTTCCCTGTGGGGAAGGAGAGCTCATCCTCACAGCAAGCTTCGTGGTGCCAGCTGGGTTTTCAGAGGTACAAGTCACATAGGAGGAAAGTTTGACCCCTCAGCAGCCAAATAGGGTGCCCTCTCTTGTTTAAACTAAATGTGGGCTTGTTTTTATTATGAAAGTAAGTACAGTGGTACTGAGTAAAACATTCCCACAGTAGGGAAGAGGGTGAGTAAAAGTAAACTCTAAAATTTTTTGTTGGAGTATAGTAGCTTTACAATGTTGTGTTAGTTTCCACTGTATGGCAAAGTAAATCAGCTATATGTATACATATATCCCCCTTTTTAACCTTCCTTTCAGGTCACCATAGAGGATTGAGTAGAGTTCCCTGTTCTATAGAGTAGGTTTCTCATTAGTTACCTATTTTAAACACAGTAATGTAAATATGTCAATCCCAATTTCCCAATTCATCCCACCATCCCGTTCCCTCCTTGATGTGCATATGTTTGCTCTCTACTTCTGCACCTGTATTTCTGCTTTGCAAATAGGTTCATCTGTACAATTTTTTCTAGATTTCACATATGTGTGTTAATATACTATATTTGTTTTTCTCTTTCTGATTTGCTTCACTCTGTATGACAGTCTCTAGGTCCATTCACATCTCTGCAAATGGCTCAGTTTCATTCATTTTCAAGGTTTAGTAATATTTCATTGTATGTATAAGTCACATCTTAATTTTAAAAAGTAGCATGGAGAAATAAAAGGAAATACATAGAATTAAATGTAAAAAAGTAAACTTCACTTACCTTCTTGCTCTTGTCTGCGGCCTCAGTCCCAAGTCCCAGAGGCTACATTTTATGATTTCCCTGGCCACTTTTCAAATGTTTTCTTTGCATATGTGTGTATATACACTGTTTTAAAAATACACAAATGGCATACTTTACACACTTTACATGCTAAAATTTGCTTTTACCACTTAGTATTTGATAACCACACCATCCTGCTACCTGTAGAAATATCTAATTCTTTTGTATGGCTAAGTGGTATGTGGGTGTGTATACTCAGTCGCTAAATCATATCCGACTCTTTACGACCCCTTGGACTGCAGCCTGCTAGGCTTCTCTGTCCATGG